TCTCACGAGAGTTCACTTCAAAGGTCCAGCAGGCGAGGCGTCTGCGGGCGTCGAAGCCGGCGAGGCATCCGCGACCCGTCCGCGCCCGAAGCGTCCGTGCCGGGAGGGAGGGGGGGGGGGGGGGGGTGGTGTGGGGGTTGGTGGGGCACACGGCACACCGGCGCCCGAGTGGTTGGGGAGTGGTTGGAATGAACTGCCGTCAAAGTGGTGGGATATGTCAAAAGCAGCAAAGGGGCCAAGTACTTCCTGAGCGATTCTCTTGTTAAGTTTGCTTCATGACACACCATGCCAGACCTGAAAAGTAGGACTCAAAACCTCCATGGATGTCTTTTCTTTGAGTCCAGCTTGGGTCCGGGAATTGGAGGTACCATGTGACCGAAACCGCCGGTCCGGTCCCCGACCTTCCCAGTGACCCACGAGGGTCGAGGGACCGAACCCATCACCAAAAGGGCGGTCACTGGGAAGATCCACAGGAAGATGGGTTTTGTGAATCACCAACTCATTGGTGACATCTTTTCTCCACTCTCGAAGCCCATGACCTTCTGGACGTGGACAGACATTCTTTTCGCTGCCACGTTTGCGGAGGAAGCAAAAAACCGACGTGCAGGGCTTGACCAAAGCATGGCGAGTGCCACGTTGACATGATGATGTGTTTCTACAATTACTGTAGATGATGTTGCTCTAAGTAAGCCGCCTACTAGGACTTGGAGCCATCGACTTTGAAGTGGTTTCTTTGCGATGGTTTCTATGGTTTGTCCTTGAACCATCGAAAGAGCCTTTCGTTCCTTGCTTCAAGTTCTTCGTTCTAAGAGTTGGTTGATCCAACATCGATCAACGGGACGCCTCCCTCCTTTGATCGATGCGTCCCACCCTCCACGACTGTCTTCGGTGTGGGTTCTTTCCCGACGACTGCGAGTGATGGACCCGCCCAGGCGTGCCAGGTACATATTTACATTTTTAATGACCTAGAATAGGGGTACACCACTCTGGGTACATAGTGGTTGCTATAATATAATATGTACATATTGAATTACCAGGCACAGAGTGGTTGTACACGACTCCGGGGTGTTCTCCACCCCTGCTATTCGAACCGCATGGAAGCCCCCAAGAACCTTGTAGAGGTCAATTCTCAGGGTTCCACGTTCGTCAGGTTGTCGGGGGGGGTTATCTCCTCTATTCATCCACCAACCGATTTACCTATTGGTTGTACGGGATACCGGGAATATCTGATGGTAAAAGTCCAACCAACCATCTGTAATCCTTTCATCAACTAACCAATGGAGTTCAGTCCGTCTATGCCAGCTCCAGCCCTTTGACCCGGCGGGGTGCCCGCCCCATCCACGTGTTTTCTTTGACCGCTTTAAAAACCGCCGTTGTTCGGTCGCTCCGGTCGTGCGTAGGTCCTTGACCAAGCTCACGTCTGCGTGCGCAAGGGTCGCTGTCGAAGCCTGTCCGGTGGTGGTTACTCTCCCTGAAAGAATTTATGGTGGATGGTGGATCCCTATAACCCTAAGAATCCTTGGGCTCTCCATGGCAGGGGTCGGACCCTCCATAGCAGGGGTCCGGGCCCTCAAAACCCTATCTGTTTGAGGGCCCGGATTCTTAGGGAAGTCCAGTTCGACTATAGTTTGACTGGCTGAAGTAAAGGAAGTTCCCGAAATCAGGTCCCCGTTCGTCAGACCATTCTTTTTATAGTCGACTGGACTCCCAGGGGGATGGCATTCCTGTAGGAATGACCATTCTCAATCCGAGTACCAAACAGGTGGCAAACTCCACTTTCATGATTAGCTCAGGGAGTGTAGTTGTTGATGGAACATGGGTAATATATATTACGATAGGTATACTCACGGAGGCTCATTATTCGCAAGGACGTTCCATGTGCGACATGTGGGCAGAATTCATTTGGAAGGTCCCTCATATGATTGATGACTAAGAACCTCTGCCTAAGAACTGACATGAACTGACCAAGAGCGGCAGGATGTTTGAAGGCCTTTCTTGTACCAAGAGAACACGCAGAACTGCACATGGCTCATTCGTTGATCACAAATAATTTGAGGAGTTGTCTTTGGCACTGCATTGGAGGTCTTGCAGCAGAGAAAGCTTTTGGATGCCTCGATCTTTATAGTACATATAGAGGCTTCCATTTTGCATTCCCAAGCAAGCACATCATAGATCCTGTAAAGTCCTCAGAAAGATCACGACATGGTTTTGTCCACCGCTGAACGAAGATACCGAACCAACTGCCAACCGTCCAACTGCCCCCTCGATCAGTCTTCGTCCGTTTCTTCCAAAACGGACCCACCGGAACACCTGTCCAGGTACCCGTATAGTACCTGGTACCGCCTTCCAGGCACCGCCCTTTGACACCCATGCCCCCTTTGACACCCCCCAAAACCCTGCCAGGTACCCTTACTACCACACTTCAGATGAGATTCGTGCTGAGGCCGACCGGAGTTCCGAGGTTCGACCGAGGGTTCCGAGGTCTGTGCCGCAGGGGGGGCGGGACGAGGAAGCCTGGTCCACTCTGGGCCAAGGGGACGGTGTACGTCTGGAGCACCGCATGTACACCAGGGTTGTTGCTCTCCATCCCTTCTTCTTCCTGGCCGGGACCCAGCTGGCCATGGGACGCAAGGGCGTTTCACCTGCGAACCCCCCTGGAAGAGACCTCTATGGAAACTGAAAAACCACTGGTGAACGTGGAGGAAGTTGGTCTTCCCAGGTCCATGCCGGTCGCCCGGTCGCCATGTGGGTCTCGGGACCCGGGTGTACGGATTGTCCATCTAAGTCATGTTTCTGCTCTGAAAAGAGATAGACGGAGACTGTTGCCAACTGGCGGACAGCGTTTTTTTTTTGTCGTTGGTTTCAACCGATCGAAGGTGTCAAGTTGATCGACCGATCGAAGTCATTTCAATGGCAGACGCCTAAATACCGCGCCAGGCTCAGCGCTTGGTGTCCGGCTGCGCTGCGAGCTTCCAAACCATCGAAGATGGGGAAGCAAGCACCTGAGTGAAACCTGCACAGCTGCAAACTTCTTTTTAAGCCGCAGAAGTTTCAATTGGAGTTCATGTAGTTGATAGCCACTGCAAAAACCTTGAACAGAGGCTGAAGTGACTGAACAATACGAGTTGCTCGGTAATAGTGGAGCTTGCATATTCTGTGTGCTGACTGCGGTCAGCCAGAAGTTGTGGTCCGGGGAGAAGAATCAGATCCAACAATTGCCCCAAACCCTACCACTTTCCAGAATGGCTTCACAAAAAGGGACCATCTAAGATCTAATTTCTGTGCTTCACGATTCTTTTTTTTCGCATGGTGTGTCAACCACCTCCACGCTCTTCCGGTCATTTCCGGTCGAACCTTTCTTCTCTTAAACCAATTCTGGGAGGAGGGGTATTTTTTTTTGGATTTTTTTTGTTTCTTTTTTGTTTTTTTTTTGGTTTTTCGTGGCTTCTGGCTTCTGGCTTCTGTGGCTTCTGGCTTTTGTGGCTTTTGGCTTCTGTGGCTTCTGGCTTTTGTGGCTTTTGGCTTTCGTGGCTTTCGTGGCTTCTGTGGCTTTTGGCTTTTGTGGCTTTTGGCTTTTTGGCCTATCCATCTATCTGTCTATACATATCTATTTATCTATCTATCTATCTATCTTTCTTTCTTTCTTTTGGCAGCTGTTCTCCTTTCTCTTTTTGTATTTGCTTTTCCTGTTGTTTTCGTTGCAGAGACGAAACCAAACAAGGAAGCGAGCAAGCAAGCAAGCAAGCAAGCAAGCAAGCACGAGCTGCTCACCTTTGGATCTGGTGTGCTGCTGGGGGGGGGCGCTGCGCCCTCCCCCCAACCCCCCCCGCGCCACGAAATCTGCACTTCATCCCCGACACCCGCGCCTGCCACGAAATCAATATTTTATGGTGAACTCCCCGGTGCAAAACTTTCTAACCAAGCAAATATGCCTCCTCTATCTATCTATCTATCTCATCTCATCTCATCTCATCTCATCTAACCTAATCTAATCTAATCTAATCTATCTATCTATCTATCAATTTATCTTTCTATCTTTCTGCAGTTCAACATCCACAAAGTACTGCACCTGCCACGAAATCTGCACTTCAAGGTCCACAAAGTCTTGCGCCTGCCACGAAATCTGCACTCCAAGGCCCACAAAGTCCTGCACCTGCCACCAACTATACACTTCCACACCCCAAAGTCCTGCATCTGCCACGAAATCTGCACTTCAAGGTCCACAAAGTCCTGCGCCTGCCACAAAATCTGCACTCCAAGGGCCACAAAGTACTACACCTGCCACGAAATCTGCACTTCAAGGCCCACAAAAAGTCCTGCGCCTGCCACAAACTCTGCACTCCAAGGCCCACAAAGTCCTGCACCTGCCACGAAATGTGCTTTGCAAGGTCCACAAAGTACTGCGCCTGCCACGAAACACGAAAACAAAAAAAATAAAAAAAAAACGAAAAAAATCCAGAAATATATTCGCACCCATTCTGGGACCCCTCCGGATGGACCCCTTTGGACCATGTCTCCTCGCTGTGACGAGCCACGAGCCGCGGCCGGGCGACGCCGGGCGACGCCGGGCGCCGCCGCCCAGGTCTCCATGGATGTGGTGCGTGTGAACGCGTGGCTGGGCATGAGAGGAACGGGGGGGGGAAGCAACGGTGGTCTTTGGAACGGAGAGAATGAATCACGATTTGTTGGGAAGGTGGCGATGTGGGTGATTCAAAGGTGATGTGGAGTGGGGAAGAGTCATTTGTAGACCATTTAAGGCCAGTGTATTATTTGGCAGTAGAGAGTACCCATGCGCTTTGGAGGCTCAGATGAATCTCTGGCGCCCCAGGAGATCAGTTTCAGAGTCCCTGATGGCCCCAGCCAAGTGCCACGACATCCTTTGGTTTTAGAATGTTCTAGTTATTTTATTTGTCAATTGATCTGTGGAACAAAAGCACCCCTGTGAGACTCCTGCCTGAAGCACTCTAAACCCACACCATTTATATAGCATCTTGCACCTCAGCAGCCCCTGATGGCTCAATAAACGCGACCTCACGTGCGGTGTGCTGCCGCGTGGGTGTCGCTACCTTCCAGTTCCTTTTGAGGCTGATGGGTAGAAGGAACAGGAAGGGATGGATCATTTTTTAAACAAAGCATTTGCAGCTGGATTCGCTTTCAATGTATCACTGGAAGATGCTGAAGTTTTGCAGGAGTTCAATAGCTGGCTGGCAGGCAGAATGGTCAAACGGACCAGGTCAGGATTCTTACAGCCTTGTCATCATAGACGTCCTTTTCCTATTATAGTTATTTCCTATTTGTGGCTGTGGAACATCGACGGGAGGGTATACTAATTGAATGATTGATGGACCAACCCTGTCTATATTGCGACATATATACCCAGACACTCCAAAAATTGAATACTGTACACACTTACATTGACCCCAGGTCCACCACCCCTTACTGTGGGTATATGTATGGACGATTATGGACGCCATACACGGAGTGTACGGGATTTGTTTATCAGAAATGATATACGATATGATATGTCACTTCTCCGCTGGGTCACCGAAAACGCCCTGTATATCATTGGCTCGGCCGTCGACAGGTTCTCACGTTCCAGTCCACCCCTTCTGGTAACCGACGAAACATGCGACGAGGCGGGGCGGTCACTGGTGAGGTCATGCGAGAGAGAGTTGAAAAGAGAAAGTCACTCGCAAATCTAGTCGTTTGCCAGAACGATATAGCGAAAGAGACCACAACCCTCCACCAACAGGTCACCACCTGCCATGTTTAAGTCTCCACTTCAGCCACCATTTCGGTGACCCTTTTCGAGTCGGGTGCTGGTAGGCAGGTGTTTTGTTAACCACCTGTCATGTTTTGGTAGCAGGTTGCTTTCTTCTTCAGTCCTCCGGTGCTGCCAAGACCTTTTCCCGAATGCGTAGCGAAGGGTTCTCGTTTAACTCTTGGGGGTCTGGGGGTGGAGCCTTGTTCGTGACACGTTGTTTCTACGTCCGCAACCGTCCACAACCGTCCGCAAGTGTTCGCAACCGTTCGCGGTAGAGCGCTAAGGTGCTGCCATTGGGGGAAGCTTTTGCAAGTGACTATTCATGGATGTGTCACGTGTCAGTTTGCGCCGCTATTCCATTTTGATTTGCATGAAAAAGACATGTCGCGCAAGCAACGTGATGCGTGTCGCTGCACAGGCGCAGCGTTTGGTGAGATCTGCAGATTGCTGCGCAGTTCCATTCGGATTAGCGTTTGGAGAGTCGTGTTTTTGGGGTGTTGGATGTGGCCGTGCCATTGGGATTTGCGTTTCAGGGTGTGGCATCGAAGCTCTGTTTTCGTGACAAGTCTCAGCTGAAATGCCGATTTTGGTGGATGGGAGTGTGCTCAGAACGGGTCGAAATCATTCCAAGCGTGTGGTGTGGTGCAAATTTTGTTGAAGCTCACATGAGATGATATTGTCACTTTTCGTGGCAGGCGCAGTACTTTGTGCGGCTTTTGATGTGTGGAAGTGCGATTCTTGTGGCAGGCGCAGGAAATCGTGAGGTTGCGAGGTGTGACGTAGGTGACATTTCGTGGCAGGCGCAGTACTTTGTGCGCGTTAGACGTGTGGATGCGGAAAGATTCGTGGCAGGCGCAGGGAATCGTGAGGTCGTGAGTTGTGGTAGAGGTGAATGTCGCTGTCACATTGGGATTGGCGTGTGAACGGGTGTTGTTTGGAGGGGCTGGACTCGCGAAACTGCTTGGCAGGGCTGCGTGATGTGTGTGCTCCGATGGGTGTTTCCGCTGGACTTTTGCAGGAAGTCTCGTACGAAATCCTCGTTTTGCAGACTTTGACATGTGAGTTTTGGAGGAAGTCTCGTGCGAAACGCTCGTTTTGGGGACTTGACATGTGACTTTTGGAGGAAGTCCCGTACGAAACGCTCGTTTTGGAGACTTGACGTGTGACTTTTGGAGGAAGTCTCGCGCGAAACGCTCGTTTTTGAGACTTGACGCGTGACTTTTGGAGGAAGTCTCGTACGAAACGCTCGTCTTGCAGCCTCGCAGCGTGACTTTTGGAGGAAGTCTCGTACGAAGAGTGTGCCCTACAGAGTGTCCCACAAGAGTGTCCTACAAGAGTGTCCCACAAGAGTGTCCTACAAGAGTATCCCACAAGAGTTTCCTACAAGAGTGTCCCACTAGAGTGTCCCACAAGAGTGTCCGCGTGTCCCACAAGAGTGTCCCGTATGAGTGTCCCACAAGAGTGTGTCCCATAAGAGTGACCCACAAGAGTGTCCTACAAGAGTGTGCAACAAGAGTGTCCCGTAAGAGTGTCCCACAAGAGTGTCCTACAAGAGTGTCCCACAAGAGTGTCCTACAAGAGTGTCCCGTAAGAGTGTCCCCAGTGGGTCAACGCACCAGTTTAACCAGTTCTTTAGTGACGCACCGGTTTAACCGGTGCTTTAGCAAAACGGGAGCTGGAAGCTTGAAAAGGCCGTGAAAAACCCGTGAAAAGGACGTGAAAAACCCGTGAAAACAGGGTGAAAGGCCGTGAAAAACCTGTGAACATTAGGTCTTGGAAGTTGGGAGGTGAAATGCGTCCTTTACGCTAACGCACCAGTTTAACCCGTCCTTTGGACTTGCTGGGGTCTCACAAGAGTGTCCCACAAGAGTGTCCCGCAACCATTTTCCACAAGAGTGTCCCACAAGAGTTAAGAGTGTCCCACAAGAGTGTCCTATAAGAGTGTCCCACAAGAGTGTCCCACAAGAGTGCCCTACAAGAGTGTCCCACAAGAGTGTCCCACAAGAGTGCCCTACAAGAGTATCCCCCAAGGGTTTCCTACAAGAGTGTCCTATAAGAGTGTCCCACAAGAGTGTCCCACAAGAGTGTCCTACAAGAGTGTCCCACAAGAGTGTCCCGGAAGAGTGTCCTACAAGAGTGTCCCACAAGAGTGTCCCACAAGAGTGTCCCGCAACAGTGTCCCGCAACAGTGTCCCGCAAGAGTGTCTCACAAGAGTGTCCCTTAAGAGTGTCCCACAAGAAGTGTCCCGCAACAGTGTCCCACAAGAGTGTCCTACAAAAGTGTCCCACAAGAGCTTCCCACAACAGTGTCCCACAAGAGTTTCCTGTTAGAGTTTCCTGTTAGAGTGTCCCACAAGAGTATCCCACAAGAGTGTCCTACAGGAGTGTCCCACAAGAGTTTCCTACAAGAGTGTCCCACAAGAGTGTCCCACAAGAGTGCCCTACAAGAGTGTCCCACAAGAGTGTCCTACAAGAGTGTCCCACAAGAGTTTCCTACAAGAGTGTCCCACAAGAGTATCCCACAAGAGTGTCCCACAAGAGTGTCCCACAAGAGTGTCCCTTAAGAGTGTCCCACAAGAGTGTCCCGCAACAGTGTCCCACAAGAGTGTCCTACAAGAGTGTCCCACAAGAGCTTCCTACAACAGTGTCCCACAAGAGCTTCCTATTAGAGTGTCCCACAAGAGTGTCCCGCAAGAGTGTCCCACAAGAGTGTCCCGTAAGAGTGTCCCACAAGAGTTTCCTACAAGAGTGACCCACAAGAGTGTCCCACAAGAGTGTCCTACAAGAGTGTCATTTGGACATATGTAGTTTTTTTGAACGTGTTTGCATTCGGGTTCGTGGGCTCCATCTTTTTTGGGGGGGGAATCCTAGTATCTCAATAGCTATAGGGTAGACCCAATTACTCTGCTTCGGGCTTGTCCTCTCAAGTGAGAACGCTCAGAACCCCCCAAAATGGTTTGTCCGATTCCTCCATAGATTCGGGTCCAACGTGGGGGGGAACCGTTTTTCAGCAATCCGTAAGATAATTTGAAGAACACTGCACAGGAGTGCTCCTCGTTTTCCTGGGCCTTCATGCAGATGCCTTGAACATTACCAGGCAGGACGGCGGTGTGGCGGCGGGCGGAAAAGGGTTTTGCAGTTTGGTATTGATCTGTGATGTCTGGGTTTTGAATCAGAAAGTTAAGACCTAGGGGCCCAGGGCCATGTCCAGTCTCCACCAGATTGGGTGCTGGGAGCTGTATGTCAAACAGAGCCTGCAAAAGTCCAGACTCACACTCCATCACACTCCAGTCCCCACTCCATCACAACAGAGCCTGGAGAAGTCCAGTCACTCGGAGTATATTCCAACATTGACCCATCTGGTCAATCACCCCAACTGATCGGCCCCATATGGGTTTTCGGAGAGGGGGGGTGTTGGTGTGTGTTTGGGATAGAGTATCGTACTCTTGATCCACAGCCATAAAAAAGGCAAAGGCCAAACAGGAAGTATAGACCGGGTGACCGGGAGCATCCAGTCTAGGTGTGGCTGCATCCTGACAAGTCGGCTGGGGGATCTCCAGCCATACCCAGATAGGATACTCCAGGTCGATGAGCATCTTCTACATTATTTTTCTGACGCAGCTTATGTTCCTTCAGCGTGCTTTAAAGAAAGAACATAGAATTTGTATGAAATTGTTATTCTTTGAGGGTTGGCTTGACAAGGGTGTTCCTGTATCGGCATGCATCGAGAATAGAAGCACCATGAAAAGACACACCATGAAAAGAAACACAATGTCTTTACAGATCAAGCACCATGTTCTTCCCTCCTGCTCCCACATTCTCAACAAACATGTTGGGACCGACCCACAACACCTACCCCAACCACCGAAACCGAGCTTTCGATTACATGATAACAGGAGCCCTGTGGGTTGTCGACAAGGCGAATCAGGATAAAATCCGATTCTGCAACCGCACAGGATTCCGCAACTGGGACTCAGTGACTCGGATGAAGCGGAATCCGATGGTTCGATCGCTGTGGATTCCGCCACTGGGACGTTCGCAACAGTTCGAGCAGCAACCACAGGCCAGGCCTGGACGCACGGCCGACAGACCGCACGGCAGGTACCAGCGTCTATTTTCCTAAGAGAGAACCCCAACAGTAAACTGTTTGGGGAAAAGAGGGCAAGAAGAGGACAAGGTCTGGAGACCGCCTGGCAGCCGCGGCCAAGCTGGTGTCAACAAAGAGGACAACAGGAGGATTAGAAGAGGTCAAGAATAGGCCAAGAGGAGAACAAGACTTAGGAGGATAACAGGAGGACAAGAAGAGAACGAGAAGAGGTCAAGAGGAGGACAACGGGGCGACAAGAAGAAGAAGCTTGAGAAGAGCAGCAAAAGGGATAAAAGAGAGGACGGCAGAAGGACAGGGTCTGGAGGCCGGGCTGGCAGCTGCCGCCAAGCTGTACAGAAGAAGCACAGAAAGAGGACAACAGGATCCGACTGATATATAAGTTTCCGAACCCGGCTCTAACCAACGCAATCATGCGAGCGAACCACCTAGGCTGATCCAAGTTCCACGTAGTTCGCGACAACATTTGGCATCACTAAACTTCAAAGAACTTCCTAGACTCGGGTCAACTAGTCATCGTCCGACCATTTCCTGAAGAGTCTTGGATTTCGATGAAGAACAAGTTGCAGGCTCCGCAGACTCTCCCAACTCTGCAGACTCCACTGAGTGCGACCGCGAGCGCCCCGCCTCCACAGGCGCTGGGGCAACGACGCAGCCCTGCGGGCGTGCTTCGGCGCCGTGGCGGCAAGGGAGGATGCAACGGCCAGGCCCAAAAGAAGGAAAGACTGTACAGCTAGATAGATATATGTATCAGTTATATATACAATATATATATATATGTATATGTATATAATTATGTATATATATGCATATATTATATAATATTATATCTGTAGAGTAGATATACATAGACCTTGGGATTCCTGGCCAACCATTGTCTGACTTTCAAAGAACCACGAGTTTGACTGAGGGAGTTGAGACTACAAAATGGTCGATTTGAAGCTGATACGCAAGATAAGCACGCCTTGCACCAGGAGATGCAAGGTAATCCAACAGGCTTTCTCCCGAGCGAAACCTAGGTTTTGTTGTCGAACATTCCATTGTCGAACAGCTCGGAGAAATCGGAACGATGAAAAACAACCGTGCGGTGTGCTTCGTCCCGGAAATCCGAAGCAAGACCATTGCTTCCATCAACACCCAAGGACCACGGAGTTCGGGTGGTTGATGGACATACTAACAAGTCTATGACCATCCAATAACCCCAAATCCGTGGTCCTTGGGAGTCCTGGGTCCTGGTTCGATGACCAGATCGATCCGATAGTCTTGGTGGCAAGGCAAGGCAAGTCGAGCCGTGAAGGTCTGAGGTCCCCAGCGTTTTGTGTCATGGAAGGACCCCTGTCATAGATAGAACAGTAGATCCATTTTCTAAAAGCGCCTTGGAAACCGTGCCACTTTATAATTTATGTAGACTCTTGATATGTTTCCTTACCCTCCCCCAATTGGGATTGCATCACTTTTTCCTTTTTTTTTCCAGAGGGGGCTATTCATCAAGAGTCTACAGTAAGAGTCGTCTCACTTGTTTGGGGGGCCCAAACTCCAAAACTATAGGGGGCTATGGCCAACACATTCCCAGACCAGTATTCCTCCAATCTGGACTTTCCAGTCATCTGCAGCTACGACGCGCAGCCTGTTGTCGTTCCTCTTCGGTCGGACCATTTGAGGCGAGAACTACAAGAGAGCAAGCTCGATTCAGCATTGCTTTCAGGAGCATTGCTTCGGGGGGAGAGCGAGCTTGGGCGATCTGAGCTGTTGTTTCCTGGCGACGGGTGAAAGAGTTGTTTCGCGATCTTTTCATGTGGCGAATCCACCGTGATTTTCTGCCAACGCTTGAAGACGTGTCCAATTGGAAGAATATGATAACATGAACATGAAGGAATCCGATGGAATGGGAGATTTGCACTTAGCATGGTAAAGTCTTTAAAACCCAATTCATTCTTCACGAAGGATTATGAAGAACTAGTAACTGGCTGGTGAGACCTATATAGTGATATAGGATGATATAGGTAGATGGCATCCGCGATCTGAGGCGATGTGTAACAGGACCTTAAGCCTTGAGGCCTCAAGGGGCTCAAGGGGTGGTCAGTTTCTATCAGAAATAGATTTTCGCCATCACTGGAACATGTGGCGGGATCAATGGATGTTTGATATTCTTAGTCTGGCTGAATTTGAAGGTCCAACTCGCGTTCCCCATGAGTTACGACTGACCCCCACCTGCACTCACCGTTGCGCCGTAGTCCCTCCTAATGGCTCCCGCGTCTCGTCTTTTCTTGAGGAGCATGACACGCACAACACGTGTTGCATGATGGACAAGAAGACCAGAGACGCCAACGATGCTGCAGGCGCCGCAACGATGGTCCCGTGGTGTTGGGAGAACGCCGGCCGATTCCACCCTGCCGATCGGCCGATCGGCGCCGCGCCACGCAGCGCAGCAAGGCAACCCCATTGGGCAAGCTTCACTGGAAGCTGCCCGACAGATTGCAGGGAAGAGTTCTGAGGAGTGGCTGGGAGAGTGGCTGGGAGACCAGGGTGAAGACCAGTGTGAATGACAGTTGATCGTTACTCACCTGGATGGGTCATTTGAACATGGGCCCCATGGTGGAATCAGTGGGTGCGTTTCGGGCCCAGTACCGGTCCCAGGGAGCGCCATCCCAACTGCTACATGTTGCTTCGGTCCATGTCACCCGTTCGTTGTTTCGGGTCAAAGTACCCCCGGACCGCTAATGCACGGGTTGGGCGGGTCCTTTCCGAGCCTTTGGGCTGGATCGATTTCGTGCTGGGAGCGAGGCGGGTCGGGAGCCAAGGCTCGGGCTTGGAGAGCCCGTTCGTCCCGGACCGGACGGAGTCCGCGAGAGTCCGCGAGAGTCCATTTTTTTCCACTACATTTTGTCGTTGATTCAGACGAGGCGGCTGACTTGTGTTGCCTCAGACGACCTATTTGGGTGGATGGGATGGGCGAAGTCCAGCCAGCCTTGGAGATCCTAGACGGACTAGACGGAGCGACCGGAGATCCAAGATCAACTTAGTTAACTTGTTAAGGTCAATCCTCGCAAAACCACATCCGCAGGGAACATCTCGATGGGAATCAGTGCTGAGATGTTTGTCAGGGTCCCTTATCCACGTTTGTAAAGGTCGTCCACCCGAGGACCTATCGTTTTGGGAACTTCGTTCTTTCTGTCGCAAGAACGACAAACAACACAGAGGGCGTTGAACAATTGATGACCTTGATGTTTTCTGATGAAGAATGGATGATCTTGATGTTTTCCTAAAGCCTTTCATCGGGCATTAGGCTGGCAACATGTCAGCTTTAGACCAGAATTTAAGATCCTTAAAAGCCGGGTTGTTGTTACACAGCATTGATCGATATCGCAACAACTCTTCTTCTTCTCACGCGCCCAGAGGGTTGCGCAGCCGTTCATAGGTTCTGTGACCTGGGGACTCCATCAAGTGTCACTGGAGTACCTTTAGCTCAGCTTCAGAGCAAGCAAACCGAACATGGCCTAAAGCCAGAATGGCACGATCAACAACAACAACAACAACAACAACAACAACTCCAACTCCAACTCCAACTCCAACTCCAACACAGAGCATCATGGAAGAGACTCACACTACGTGATGATAAAAACGCCTACCCTGACCAAGCAGGAACCGAAACGCCGGTGTACTTGTCGGGTCTTCGTCTCGGCTCGGTCAGGAGATGCCGGACAGCGATGAGTTACTGACGCCCTGGTGTACTTGCTTCGGGTCCCAGGCCGGGTGGACATGAGGCACCGTAGATGCTTCGGTGCTCAACACCAGGACGAAGCAAAGACTTGCAGTATATATATATATATACTTTAACGTTCAATGCAGACTGTTACGAATTAATAGTGTCTTTTAGGAACGTAGCAACAACGTACGTAACTATGAGGAAGTGGTTGTGCATCGGTGGCCATTTTGGCTTCAAGTGGCCCCCCCCCACACATCTTTTAAAGTTGTGAGCCATGGAGCTCGAGGATGCTGTGGCGGACGCCCCCATGCTAGGGAGAGATGGCGGGGGGGGCCGTTGACAGTTGAAGACTCAATGGATGAGGACGAGGGCGATGAGAGCTTGGTGGCCCTGGCAGCCAGGGTCCGAGAGGTGGAGTCGATGAGGTCAGAGGACATCCAACCTGAGACTCCCACGGAAAAGTTTAGCCCTACAGAGCTGCAGGAGGAGGACAACCAGGTGGTGAGCCCTTTGATGAAGCTCAAGAAGTTGGTGGAGAAGAAGAACTCAGCATCGTCCTCGGTAGATGAGTCTGCAGTGGCAATGGTAGTCAACAAGGACGAGTACAACATGATCGGAAGTGAAAGTCAGAAGCTGAAGCAGTTCGTTCCGGACACCTTGAGGATGCCCTGGGAGAAAGGGTTTGCAGGAGTGGTACTGAGTGGGAAGTCTGGCATTCTCCCCCTCGAGTGCTTGCAAGAGAGTGGACGCAGCGCAAAGGCCATGGAGATTGAAGTTGAGGTCAAGACACAACAGAAGGAGGAGACCAAAGTGAAGCCCAGCAGAAGAACGTGACAAAGTTCTGGCGGGCTGGATGGTGGTAATTGCTGAGGCAGGTCGACACTCGAAGGGGAGAGAGATGATTGAGAACAGCGGAGAAGAGGTCATGGATGACATATTTGCCAGGAAGAAGAACGGGACACTTCAAGTGAGATTGAGTGCCATGCTGTTGTACGTCAGGTGGGCCGGAGCAAAGGGTTTACACCCGTTCCCGCTTGACGAGGACATTTGCTACAACTACGTGGACCAACTCAGGCGGGATGGCGCCCCAGCGACACGTGCCAGCAGCTTCAGGAGTGCCCTGGCATTTTGCAAAGGTACAATCCAACTGCAAGGTGTGGACGATGTGTTGCAGAGCACTAGGATTGCTGGGTCAGCGCATCGAAGTTGCCTGACGAAGAGAGTGTTGAAGCAACGCGACGCTTTGACAGTCCACCAAGTGATGATTCTGGAGCGTGTCGTGTGTGAGGATTCCTTTCCTGTGCAAGACCGTATCTTTGCAGGGCATTGTTTAGTGTGCATCTACGGTAGGCTCCGATTCGGAGACAGCCAGGGAATCCAGCATGAGCCAATAGTGGAGGGTGGGTATGTTGAGGGTGGAACATCCACTCACAAGACAGACTCCATTGCTGGCCGAGCATGCAGGGTCCTCCCAGTGGTGGCGGCATGGGCTGCTATGTTGCTGAAGCTCAGGGACATCTCAGGACTTCGAGCAATGCCAGGGCGTCCCTTTCTTCCTACACCAGTGGAGGCCTCAGTGTGGCTTTGTGAGATTTTGAAGAAGTACCCACTCAATCCTGGACAGCTTGGTAACGTGGGGGGCTCATTCCCTTAAGGCGACAGCCTTGTCGTGGATGGCCAAAGCCATGGTTGCTGAGAAGATCAGGAGGCTGATGGGGTACCACGTCAAGCCCAAAGACAAGACAGTCCCCATTTACAGTAGGGACGCTTTGGCAGCCGGCTTGCAGATCCTGACGAAAATAGTGAGTGATATACACCAGCTCAAGTTCAGGCCGGACGCACCCAGGAACCAGAGATTCGTGGGCATGGAGCCTGGAACCAGCAGCGAACTTCAGGAGCCTCAGGGAGACGAGCAGGACGATGACATCTTGCCGCAGCCTGAGGCCAAGTGGTCTATGCATGAAGTCCCAACTCCTGGTGGAGGCGGAACACTCGTCAAGTGAAGATGAGGAGACCGCTAACGAAGAGCCAGAGAGTGAAGATGAGCGGACCCTGGAGGCAGTGGTGAGGGCGAGGCTAGGGCCTCCCAAGAGGTCGAACGCCGAGCCAAACAGGCATGGCATCACTGGCACGATCCACCACGGCAGTTCAATAGAGGGCAAACTTGCATGTGGCAGACCTATCTCGGGGGTCATGTTCAAGCTCTCCGAGGAGGTTCACGCCCTAGGAAGCAAGTGCAAGGTGTGCGAAGGATACGCCAGGTGGAAATTGTACCAAAGTAGAAGCTGCAGGTAAAGTACCTGAAGTGGATCGACTGCGCAGTAAAAAGTTTGAGTGAGGGAGTGCGGGGTGGTCCCGAGGGTTGGTAGGTCAGAGAGTAAGTGGTCGCAAGGGTCCCCATTAGTGTGTTATAGAGTGAAGTGATGAAGTGCAAGTCAAGTGTTGTGATGGGAGAAGTTCCCAATGTGTGACCTCGTGCCGGGTAGTCCGGATCAAGTCAAGTTGGACGAGGATGTCTCGTCGATGGAAGTGGCCTGTGGAGGACTGACGGGAGGAGTCGTGTCGTGTCGAAGTTGTCGTGTCGAAGTTGTTGAACAGGTAGATAGGTTTGAGCGCATGAACGAAGAGAGAAGTAGAAGGTGTGAAGTGAAGTTGAGCAGAGTGGAGCACGAGAGCTTGTTTTGATTTAAGCGCATTCAAGGCTCAAAGTGCAGGCCGGGTTCGGACCGTTCGGATCATGGCCATGCTCACTGAGTCGACGGCAGTGTTCGAGGCGAAGCTCAAGGATTTGGGGCTCGAAGCCTACAAGGACGAGATGGGCAGGCGAGGGTGGACGACCCTTTCCACCTTTGCCTTCGCAAGCAGCTGGGCACCGGGATCGGGCGATGATGCTGCCTTCATCACGCAAGTGGTGACGCCAATCCTGGGGCGTGCAGATCATCCAGATCTACCGAAGATCAGAAAGCTGTACCACGAGGCATACACAGTGGTGGCAGCTGAACTGAGGCAAAGGCTCGAAGGCACCCAGGAGGCCGATGGATCCAAGACGAGGAAGTTGCCACCGGTGGAACGCAAGCTCAGGTTCGAGCAAACTACGGCCACCTTCAGATCAGCGATCAGTTGGAGCCAGCTCACCACGTTGTGGACAAATTCCACTCAATGCGTGTGGAGGGCGAGCTGAAGTACCTGGCGCCTCATGAAGTTCCAACAAGAGACCAGGAACTGCAGAACATCAAGACTGAAGAGCTGATCAAGAGGGATGCAAGTGGGCACCTGCGGGCGCACGACGAGACGAAAGTGCCGGATGCCGATACTCGTACAGACCTCAGGCTCAGGCAGGCGTACACACGCCGTGGACTGGCGCTAGAAGTGGCCGACGTGATGACCTTCACCGTTCACGAGAAGCTGGTGGACAAATTGTTCCAGGAGTACCAGCGTGAACCACCAGCTGGCTACAATCAAGTGACGCTGGGGCAGTTGACGGCAGCTGACCGCCGAGCTTGGAAGATGATGAGCGAGGAGATCCAAGGGGACCTGGGGCGCAATGGCTTGGGCAGGAGGCTTGCAGATGTTGCCCTGGAGAAAGTGATTGCGGAGCCGGCCTCCATCACAGCAGACCGAGCCGGAGCAGACAGGAGTTGGCAAGAGGAAGTTGATGAAGGAGAATCAGAAGCTCAAGGAACGCCTGAAGGAGGCGGAGACGAAGAAGAAGAAACAGGAACAGTTGCACTACGAAGAGGACAAGACAGCTGCCCCAAAGAAGATGCCGATCAAAATGCCGAAGGAGCTGTGGGGCCTCACGCCAATGAAACAAGGCGAGAGGATTTGCTACGGGTTCAATATGACCACATGCAAGGCAAAAGACGGCAAGTGCAACAAGGGTCTGCATATCTGCATGCGATGCTGGAAGAGCGGGCACGCGGCAATCAATTGCCTGAGCCAGTGAGGCATGGCTGGGGCAGATGAAGCTGCAGTGGAATCGGGAGCTGCTAGGAGACCTCGCGAAGATCCCGAGATGTGTACAGAGAGCTTTTTCGCCGCAAGGCACAGCCCTGACAGACGAAGTGAAAATGTGGGAGGCGTAGTGCCTCAGACGTTTGAGTTGTTTGCAGGGTCGTGCAAGTTGTCTAAGTATTTAAAGTTGCATGGATTTTCAGCCGTAGGCATTGACCACAAGAAGTGTAAGAACCGAGTAGGACTGTGCATAGTATTAGTTTTGTCTAAGCCAAGTAGCGTCGATTACCTCAAGGGCAAGATCGATCAGGGAGGATTTTTCTTCATACCGATGGCACCCCCATGCGGGACAGCGTCCAGGGCAAGAGACAAACCCGTGCCAAAGTGGTTGCAGAAACGTGGTGTTCCCTCGCCACCGCCTTTGAGGAGTGCCGAATACCCCAGAGGATTGCCGGGCCTCAGAGGGCTGAACTTGGAGCGTGTTGAGTTGGCAAACGCGTGTTATGATACAGCTTCACAAGTGTTTCTTGCTGCTCATGCATGTGGTGTATTCGCCTTCATCGAAAACCCCAAGAACAGTTACATGTGGATGGTGCCTAGCATTGCAAAGTTGTTCGCCCTGGATGGAGTGTTTTTCACTTGTTTTCACGCTTGCATGCATGGGGGCTCGCGAGACAAGCAAACTGCACTGCTCCACAACTGTGAAGAACTCTGTAAGTTGGGAGTGAAGTGTGATGGATCTCATACACACAAGCCGTGGGGTATTAGCAAAAGTTTGGCTGGTGGCTGGAAGTTTGATACATCAGCTGAAGCAGAATACCCCCTCGTGTTTTGCCAGCGAGTCGCAGTCATTATGAGCAGGCTTGCCCATACCCGGGGTTACAACACCATCCAAATCGAACCCCGTGCCAGTCCGCTTGCCGCCCAGGCCTCCAACCAGTGGAGGATTGCCGCAGGGAAGCAACCCCGTGGCAGGCGCGCCGCCCCCATGCTGCCCGAGGATGGGCAACAAGTGGAGGTCGTAGTGACCGATCCACATGAGCTCCAGGTAGTGGAGCGTTGGCGAGGCCGTTCCGATTGACAATGTCATCTTGCCGGGTGCATTTTTTCCCTACGGGACACGACTTTTACATCAAATTCCGTTCCAATCAGGGGGAGAGAGCGGGGACGGGGAGATTGCACAGGCCAAAATTGTCACATTGGGTATCCCTATGAACTGAGAGGAAGCAGTGAGGAGAGCCCGTGACCTGAAACACCCATTTGATACAGCCTTTCAAGTACAAGATCACACACTCGACGCCATGTTCCAGGTCATGACGAAGGGTTCAGAAGCAGTGCATCAGGAGAGGGTAGAGAGGCTGAGGTGGATGAAGGCGAGGGCCAAACAGTTGGAAGAGAAGGAGGCGGCCCGACATAGAGGTGAAAGTGGCAGAAGTGTTGAAAGCCAAGAAGCTCCTTCTCTTTGAGGAACTCCTCAAGATAGTGGGGTATGAGGACAGGCATTTGGTTGCAGACATGTGCAGAGGTATGACCATCACTGGAGAAGGGAGGGTGACTGGTTGTTTTGCGGCGGAGTTCAAGCCCCCGATGTTGGATAAGGAGGACCTTTGGAAGGGAGCGAAATCAGCACAGCAGGAAGTCAGAAGTAGGGTCCCAACACATGTGGCCAGGAGGAAGGTAGAAGTAGCAGGTAACACAGTCGACATTGCTGAGGAAGTGTGGGAGGCGACGCTCAAGGAGGTGAAGTTCGGATGGCTCGAGGGCCCCCTCGAGGTGGACCAGGTGAATGAGAAGGTTGGTTGGACCGCTATGGACCCCCAGCAGGAGGTTTGGCATCGTGCAGGGTAACAAAGTTAGGAATATAGACGACTTGAGTGAATTCTCCATCAACCAGTGCTACGGCCCAGGTGAGAAGCTAGATCTAGGGGAAGATAGGCGGGTAGTCTCAGTCTCAGCAGCAATTAAGTCCGAAGTGGTTCTTATGTACAGTAAGGAGTGGTCATAGGTGATGCGACAATAAAATGTCAACCGACAGCTTAGCTGTCCCGGAAGCATCCCCATTCAAGAAAAAAGAAGAGTCTCTCGTGTGTATGCACAACTTGCGGAGTCATGAAATACGCACATATATATATATAATAGCACATATATATATATAATATATATATATATATTATAGTGCTTGAAGGTGGTCTATGTTGCTGGTCCGGGGGTCAATTCTTTTTCTTTGCAGCTGATGGTTGAGGCGTCTAAAATCCAAGTTTTCAAGTCAGTGACTAGGGACAGGTACCATGAGAATGACAATAAGTAAGCATACACAGTAGACTCAGACTGGATCAACAAATTTGTGCTGGAAAGGCCTTGTCACATTAGATCTCTTGGCGCATTCCATTTGCAAGGCACAAACAGTCGGACGCACCCATCGGATTATACTCCAGACACTCCATCGGACTGGACTATATTAAATTTAGGGTCTGTCCCATTTCCTGGGCCCAGTGGGTAAACAATAAAATCTCTGTTTTAGAGAAAGGCCTTCACTAACCATCATCATTTGTTACTGGTAATGGGATATGAGATGCCCAAACAGAGTTTATGCCACCTCAAACAGAGCCACAGAGTCCTGAAATCAACGGGCCGTTTCCGGGTGGTTTTCCGATTGCCCGTCCGTGTTTGGAGATGGATCGATGCCACAAGGCGCTCCCCTGCCGATCCGGAAGAGCCTGTCAGGTTTGCTCACACTACGCACAGAGCACGAGCACCAAAGTGACCCTTGGCAGGTGTGGGAAGGTTCGTGAGACATGTACTGTACAGGTCCTACCCAGGAGGGAAAAGTGGATCACGTGTAGGCAAGGGGGTCTTCCAATAAAAAACAACTCATATTCCACATTGTCAGACTGGACCCCGATCGGCCATGCAATAGGGAGAGTTGCGAACAGTTTTGACTCACGCGTACGATGCGCATCAACCCAGACACTCTATGTATGACATATATGTACATTGAGGTGGTTTCTTGGGTCAATGTAGACAATTAGGGCATTCCCAGTTGTCCGGGGTCCTTCCGTGACACACCAAACAGTCCGGCCTCGGCCGCGCTGTGCCGCGTGCCGCGGTCGCGTTCTGAGGAAGTTCGTGAACGACTGCGGCTGTGCCTCCGGGACCCCGGGCGACCTGGATCGATCGGATGGCACGGGCAGAGGGTGTGGGAGAACATTCGGTTGGAGACATCGAGACTGGATTCGAGAAGCAATTCCACTCTCCAATGTAGTGGGCAGCCAGGAGGGGTTTGTCAGCCCTTGGGGTAGACCAAGTGCCCCAGAAGGTGTCAAGAGCCTCCTTCGTATAATGTCCAAACACCTCGAATGAGAATCCAAGGGGCCAGCCAGGCCACGTGAGCACTCACGTGAATCCACAGGTTGAAGACATGGGTCTTCTGTCTCCTGTTGGTCAGATAACATGAAATGGAATTTGGCAGGGAGAACCCAAGGCTGAACCAGGCTGGACCTCGCAGCCTCGCAGCCTGGACCCAGGTGGTTCCTCCGGAAACGAGATCCAATTTCCTTTTTTGACAGCCAGACACGACGGGACCAGCAGAAAAGACCCAATCACTTGGGAACCGTTTCAGGAAGCCTCTGTGAGAAAAGGCACCACTTCCATGTCCCATGACCCTCCTGGAGTGTTTTCTTTCTTTTTCACAGCTCAGGCAAGGGCTTCTGCATGTCGAGCATCTCCAGTTCCGCGATCTCCGGCTGCCGCTGGGACAGATTCCGGATCCGGGAGCAGTTCTGGGCTGAGTGGGTGGCCTGGTTCACACCGACGGTCGTGTGTTCCATGTCACGCTGACGAGTCCAACAGTCTTGAAGTATTTTAAATTGGAAGGAAGGCTGGCTCAAACTCTGATTCCCCAGGTACTGTAGCTGCAAGCAATAGTTTGTCATTCTTTCTTTCCGCTATACACCCGCTATCTGGGGTCTATGCCGGTGTTATTATTGTTTTTTTTTTTTTTAAATAATGTTACCATGACCATCCATTTAGTTACTTACATGAGGGTCATCAACGGGTTGATTTGTACCCAGACATCAAGTCTTACTGGGACTGCCCAAGAACTTCTACTGGGGCCGAGAAATGGATGCGTTTGGGGTGGTGTTTTGGAGTTCGAAGGATCTTTCGGCAGATCTTCCAGTCCGGAATCGTCGATCTCGCCGCTCCTGGTCCCGGTCCCGCGTCGCTTCCGGTCGGACCCCGGGGGTCCGAACCCCGGAGACGTCGACGAGCCGGAGCCCGAGAGTGGGAATGTCCCGAGACAGACGTCGAGGGCCCTCTGGTCTGGGCTGTGAACTCACGGAGAAAGGTCTGGGCTGTGGCGAAGAATCTTCCATGCGAAAGGGAGGATGTGGCTTCGAAATGGATCTGAGGAAAATGGCTCACTTGGTTTGATGTTTGCTTGAATCCTTCGATCTTTTGCAGAGAAAGAATGCCCGAAGGTTTTGTTTCAAGTTATAACCTCCATCACGGTGGGGATCTACCAGAACCTTCCGTTTGAGGTGTCTACAAAAAATAAACAGCCTCTTTGGGGGGGCGGTGATTCGGAGTGTTCAAAACCAAGAGGCCGAACGGAAGGTCTTGGTTTTTGCTACTGTTATAACAAGGGCAGCTACTACTAGTAGCAAAGAGCTACGTTCGTAGCTTCTTGTTGCTAGTAGTCATGCCCTTGTTACGTTCGTGGCGATGCACGTAGCTGACGTTCGTAGCATCGACGTCTCAGCTGTCGGTGCTCGGGGTCTGCCGGAGGCGAAGGCTGGGCTCGCGAACAGATGCAGATGCCAGGCCATGCCACTCCAGGCGCGAAGGTGAAGGGGTCGACAAGTGGGTTGGATAGGGAAAATCATACAGGAAGAAACCCATCAACCCATGGCCAAAATCCATGAGTTTGTAGACTTCCCCCGTTCCAAACACATCCATGGTTCATGGTGGTCATCTCCAGGAGAGATTGGATGGATCATGCATGGGACTTTTTTTTTTGGTCCCTACAGCTGGACTCTTGGACTGGTCAGCTCAGCAAATCGCAAGGTCCAAGCTTTTTTTGATTCGTTTCGCAATCAACCACCGTTGGTGCCCCAGAAGAGTCGCATGTCCCGAAAAAGGGAGCATGCAGAACTGTGCACCTCTGATTCTGAACTCGCTGTTTCTGTGTCCGTTTTTTTGGAGCATACCATTCCCATCCATTCCCAAGACTATCTTTTATCTTACTGGCACTCAGTATCCTTTCAAACATGAAATGAGTCCCCCCAACAGAAAAGCGAGCAGGTGCAGGGTTGAACCTTAACTTAGCTTTTACAAAAGAGGCCCGTCCGGCGAGAGGACAATGCAGCTTCCACGCAAATCATCCCATGTGTGACGAGTTCAGACTATTTGGAAGGTGGCTCTTTTTCCGATTCCAGATGTGTGAGCTGGAAACAACAGGACATTTTCCTAAGAGGAATCGACATATCGAATTGGAACATGTCGTTGCTGAACCCAAAGCAGCACGATGCGGAGACCACCCGAACACCCGCGTCGGTCTCCGGGACCGTCCGGGAGACCGGCGTGAGCGATGGAGGCGTCTCCAAACCGAAGGACGGCGACAACAACTGTCCGGCGCTTCAAGGGAAAGCGGAGGTGGACATCAGTAGCTGCTGAAGGCGGGGAGAAAGTGAACACCACCGCGGACCACCGCGTGCCGCACGCGTGCCGCGTGCCGCACACGCGAAGGCACGGGGTGTTGCGATGCGTTGTGGGAGATGCTTTCTTTTTTTTATATGTCTCCGCAGGAGTTGCGGTTGGGGCGCCTGAAAGGGAATTCCGTACAGGGAAGAAAGCGATGGCTTTGTTGTTTCTTCCGATCAGAGGAGAGTTTGATGGTTCTTTCGACACAGCCGAGTTCCCCTTTGGATCCAACAGGATCCAACAAATGAGCTGCCAGGCGCTTCGGCGAACGTCGGCAAGATCGTGCAGTGAGTGGAAAGAACCGTCGCGCCGATCGGTGCTGCGAACGTAAACGCTGGCAGGTCATGTTTTGAGACGAGGAAGAGTAGTCAACACATCCTTTGATTTTGCCTTCAGAAGCAAGGTTTGGTAGTTGGATCATCAGTAATCTATGGACTTTTAGCAATGCAACAGGGAAACCCATCATATTTGTCCGTTCCATCTGCAGTCAAGTGCCGACAGAAGGGCAACTGAGGAGGGCCTTTGTTCATGGGACTGCATAGGCAACAGAAACAAATGAATAAGATTTCCAGATCTCCAAACCTTGGCCCCGTGGACAATTTTCTCCCCACAAGTCTTGGATATACCTACAACAGTCTGTATACATTCTACCCTCCAAGCATAATTAGGAGCGTCACTGAATGTCACGGAATAACATGTGTTCTTGAAGTGATAAACACTCATGGTAGCTCTTGGAGCATGTGCTTGATTTGCATCAATCAACACACACAAAGAAAAACAAATAATGTGGCACGCAGTGGAATGCCAGGGCTTCCAGGGCTTCCCCTCAAAAACCACTGTGACGACCAACATGACCCAAAGCTGTTTCCCAAAATCGGACCTCCCAGCAGCAAATTTGGACATAGGACCTCTGTATATAGAGGGTCTCACCTCTTCGCGCGCCAAGACACGATGCTATACCATCGCGCGCCGGCGGATGAAAAGGCGTGATGTGATGCCAGGTATGATAGCGAAGCTATGCTATAGCGTGGGACTCTGCCTAGCTATCTGGGTCTATGCTGGTGTAATTTTGATACCAGAAAGTAGTTGAATGGTATCCAAGTTTGTAGGGATCCACGTACCTTTGAGAAGGTAGTTGGACACTCCATTCCTATTTAGAAGTGTCTCCAATTAAAGACGGTACAACTCTTGAAACGGCAAGCACTCTTGCTAACGGGACGAGCCTCATAGACTCCTCATGCGAACGGCACCCTTGAAATGCCCCCCCCAACTGCTGTAGAACCCATTTGACCTCTGTTTTGATAGGAAAAGACGATATTTTGGGTGGTTGGTGCGGGTGTCAATAGACCATGCGATGGAACCCTTTAAAGACCACGTCAGACCGGATCATCTTCACAACCAGGACTGTCCCCTAACTCTGCTGAGGACTGATGTGCCACAGAACAAGGCGGGGCGGCTCCCGCGGCGGCTCCCGCGCGGGGTTTGGGGGGTTTGGGTCGCGACCGTTGGACAGACCGGACAGGTGGATGTCTTCGACATGACGAGTTCGCCATGATTTTCCTTCGACGCCTCGGCCGCCTCCACAGGTCGCAGGTCAGACCGCAGGTCAGGACCATCCAACAGGTCACCTGAGTCACCTGGCTACCCCACACGGATCCGGCCAGATGGCTTCACAGGGCACCCCGGTCCTGGATGGTCAAAGCAAAAAGTGTCTTCAACTAAGGACTAATGAGTTGTGAAGTCGAAGTCTTCCTCGTGGCGGCGTCATCATGACTCAATGAGTGCAGTCATCTTTCCTGCAAACTTGTATATAGTTGAGAAGCTATGGCACCACCTATTCTTTGGTACTTGTGGTTGTTCGGGTTTTCTTTCCATGGTGCTCGTTTCAACCAGACTGTGGGCGTGTGCAGTGACATATTGCTGAAGACACAGATATGCCACTGACATGATGGCGCAGCAGTCAAATAAAGCAGAGCATCTTCCGCTGGTCATGGATAAAACCCTTACTATCCACCTGTGATATCTGTTGTGTACCAATCATTTCTTGGAAAGAGACCAGTTTGGCACTTCTCAGGTATCTCCTTGTAAGCTAGGTCTCTGGGGTCTCTTTGAGAAACCGCTCCCATTTGGTCTAGGTCTTCATCCTGTTCGGGGAACATAGCCGAGAGCTCATTGGGCTCGAGCTCGGAGCCCCAAAGCGACGACCCAACACCGCGCGCGCAGATCGGGAGGTGGGGGAGCAGCAGGCAAAAGGCCGGTGTTCGAAAAGAAGAAACCAACACACCCAAAAGTTTAAAAAAATTAACAAAAACACATTACCAGGACCCTCCTTTCGGGGTGTCCTGGCTGGACTACCCCGCACGGATCCGGCCTAGGCTTCCAGACAGGGCACCCCGACAGGAGGGTCCTGGTAGAAAATGCATTATGCGATGCATTTTCTTAGAGGGTCCAACTTCGGAGGTTCGAGGTCTAACTCTCGGATCTCGGGGATTCTCGGCGGACAGCTGATCTCACAGTCCCATGACAAAGTCGCATCAACCGGTGGAAATGCCATGAGAAAAGGTGGGAAGAAGTAAAGAGGTGGTGGAAATCCACTAGGCTGACCGGGTGGCCTGGGTGTACAAGGGATGGTCACCATCCACACTTGGGGCCACGGGTATACCGCGGCCTGCTTGATCAGACGCGCTCCTTTTTTCGCAGATCCTTCGCCTGAGTCAAGGGCAAGGGGTGAAATTCTTCAAGTCTCACACGTTTTTTTGCCGCCTAGAGAAGAGTTGAAATGGATTCGATTGAACTGGTGTTCTTGCCGCCTACAGGTGTTTGCCACGGGATTTCCCAGGTGTTTGTCGAGCATTTGCTGAAAAGGAGGCTCCCGACAGCCCCAAGAACCCCGCACAAGATCATCCTGTAGCATCTACCAGGACCAGCCTGTTTGGGAGTGGAAAAGAAACACCCCCCACCACCACGTGAACAACGACCAGACCTCCAGGACCAGGTCTGCGCGAAGGCCGGTTCGACCGTGTTTTTGCTGGATTAGCTAATTAGGCCAGGAGTCACAAAGGGGTGGTGTTTAGTCCGTAAGTGAGTGGATGTTCTGGGCACCCCTAACCTCCATGGATCGCACCCCGTCTTGTGACTGCTGGGGGTATCTTTTGATCCAAACATGGGTATCGTCCGATCCTCAGAGCCCTTCTTTTCCCCACTCGCTTTGCAGGACCGGACTGGCGCTGCTGCAAGAGCTGTGCCGGGGACCCCGCAAAACACACGGCGCGGGGTTGGTGGGATCCAGCGACCTCGTGGTGCTTTGGCCAAGGAGCCGTTAGGATGGATGGAGTTCTAGATGGCTTTGAAGCACCGTTTCTCTTTGGAGAGAGATATGCTAGATGTGTTTCTTCACCTCTTTCAACAACAACAGCTAGTAGCCGCCCAAGCTCCTGGACTGGTCCGTGGTGACAGCTCCAAAACTGCGAGACCGACATCAGGAGAGCACCAGCGATGTGTGGCGGAATCAGGCTCAGATCGCCGGCAGGAAGCCGGCGAAGAGAGGGAAGATAAGGAGAAGCTCTGATGGCCTTCGCGACGCCGTTCTCTGGGAGTCTTGACCAGAAGCCAGAAGATCGTGCCTTCCTTTCGACCATCGTGACCCAATGCCCAGCGAACGCCTTGGTCTTGGACGTGGGCTCCGGCCCACAAGCTCAAGCCGCGCGCTTCTTGGCATCGCCGCGGCGTCGGGTGTGTTGTGTGGACATAGATGCTGCAGCCCTGCGCAGCGCGGCCATGCTTCTGGGACCCTTGGCTGACGGGGTCCAGGCAGACATGTCAGATCTTGGAAGAATCTTTCGGAGCGAGATGTTCGACTTGGTGGTTGGCTTCCTGGCGGCTAGGACGCGGATCGATCGGGTGAACACATGGGGATTTGTTTTCCGGTTTTTGGGGAGTTCCTCTCCTGGCATAAACCAGGTTTTTGGTATTTTGGTTCCCTGGCTTCGGAGCCGCAAATCCAAGGCTTTTACTCCTTGCAACATCATTCCGATCCTGTGGCGCTTGTAAGAAGCATGGTGCCCTCGAGCCGTCGTTGTTTGGCCTTTTCAGTCTTGCTGGACTGTGCAGAAGATGGCCGGCCCCTTCCAGTGCCTCTGAAGTCCTTCTATCGGTCCTTGAGCCTTGAAAAAAGCGGTGCATCTGCTGTAAAATCTTGAACATTTCTCACAACATCTTAATGCTTCTTGATGCTCTTTGGGGGGGGGAAGCACCAAACGTATGATTCTTGGTGCTTCTTGAAAGAGTCCCTCCCCTAGGACGAGAAATCACGGAAAGTTCTTATTTTCCTATGCACGCTTGGGATGTTCCTTTTGTTTTCGATTTGGCTCCCTGCAGAAGAAAACCCACTTGACGACTCTATACGACTCTACCAATTTTCCACATGTCTTTCGAAGTCTTTCGATGCCATCACATGATCGATCTGGGCGACCTGGTCCTTCATGTTTTTAACCAATCAACCAACCAGGTCCTTCATGCAGCCAGGCGATTTGGGGAGGGCCTTGCGTGCTTCGGGTTGCGCCGAAATCTCCTGGCTGCGACGCGTGGTCTATGTCGATGAACACGAATTCCCCTGTGCGCGCGAGTACGCCCTGGGAATCAAAGATTGAGGTGGAGCAGTGAGGAGCTTTGGCCTTTCGATGACTTCAAATCCTTGCAATCCTCCTTGCACTGGATTCCAAAACTCTTGGTGCAGGATCACGTGTAGCAGTGGAGCATTTGGCACCGCACAGCAGTGGAGCCGCGAACGAACATGAGATATGTTAGCCTGTCTCTTTGGTGCGATTCCTGTGAGGATGGAGCTTTGTTGAAGTTCAGCCCTGTCCTTGAAGAATGTCTGTGGTTCTCTGAAGCTCAATTTCAAGTGTTTCAAGAAGCCCCTTTGAATGACTTGGCCGGGAGCCTAAACCGACAGGACCGACAGGTTCCAGGTTGTTCGGCTTGGAGCACGGGCCTCCATGGTGCTTGCTTGCCTTGGCGCACCAAGTGCGCTCCACGGCGTCGAAGGGTCCTCGCATCGGATGGGCCCTTTGGGTCTGAAGGGAACAAAACATGGGTCACTTGTGACTCACTTGTGAAGATGCTGCAGGATCGGGATCAATCAATCATGGATATATTTAAGCTGCTAACTTTAGTGAGGATATGATATGAATCAATCAGGATCGGGATGCTTAGGTGATCCATTCTGAGAATCCACGGACGATTTCGATTAGGTCACCACTGCTCTGATGCAAGCAATGGCAGGCACACAGCCCCCCAAAAAGGAAAGATGGAGTACCCATTGACTTATGTTAACCACTTAGGCCATCTCTGATGGTTTTGCCAAAAAGCGAC